CCTAGCCTTGTTGAAGCCATGTCTCATCGCTTACTGTCAATTGGTAGTAATATTCAGGGCAGTTTTCTGAAACGGAGATATTATGACGCTGATAATAAAGAACCTTTCCTTGCTCTTTTAATTCAGTAGTAACCAATTGATCTAAGATAGTCTATGGACCAGCATTTTCATGTAATCAAACATCATCACGCTCAACTAATTATTTTAATTGTTGTTCAGTGCATATATTTTTATTAGTTTCACGTACATGTCTAAGGTGTATTTCGCTTGTATTATTGTAAGGTGCCAATAATTTTAGTGCAATTTCTACGCCAGAACTGTGGTGTGCATAGTGTGCCATAATTGCATGGTCACGAGCTTGGAGACTAAGATTTATTCTTGATACTTTTGATTGTGATACCACAGGCATATATTGTGATCTATGTGTCTCTTCAACAAACAATTGTACTGGAAAGAGTTCCTCAATATCTGAAAGCATAACCTTAATAATAACTCATACAGCACACTTGTGTGTATCAAAATCATTTTTCAAATTATTGTTTAAAAAAAAATTTGGGCATTCCCGCTTACATTCCCCAATTCTACCACAAGCCCTTTCACAACTGTTGTTACCATCACAAAAAAGAACCCAACGCCATACTGTTAAGTCTGATGTTGCATTTTGCTTAATTTTTGCCACTCGTTCACGACCCTTGTCAGTAAGCTCAATTATGTCATCTAGTCAATTCGTCAATTTATTTTGTCCTTGAATTGTCTTCCAAGAGAGATAGTTGATAGCTTCTTCAACACGTTTCAGAGTAATTAAACCTGCCTTGATATTCTGATTTACATAAAGTCGGCTTTGTTTTTTAAGTTTGCAGTTGGTTAATAATAGCAAAGAGTTAATGTAAGTTTCAACTGCATGGCCGAAAGGTAAATTAATGCTTCCATTATCATTAACACGATATTGGGAAGAAAAATCTGACATATTCATTATTATTCTTTTTGATGCTCTAGTTGATTTTTTTTTGGTTTTGTTAGATAATTCTAGCAGTCACATGAGATATGCTCTTCTGGCTTAACACTTACTTGTATCACTAGTTTTCTTCACTATCTACTAACCAATTCTTTACTTATACAGTCAAACACACAAAGTAATAATGCATAGTTTTTATGAAGTTACTATGCCAAAAGCGAAAAAACTATTTTTTTTTTGTTTGATCAAACTCTTTATTTTTCGATTCACTTACAATTTATACAAATTGAGTTAACAATGTATTTGACTACCATATTTGTAATTTACGTACATACTTAAATTATACTCCGCATTATACGATAATAGAGATTGGCAAGATAATTTACTTATTATGTAAAAGTAAAATCATCACAATATGTGACAATTTACTAATAATATATACTTACAACTATAACATACTGAATTGTCACATAGCGTGATTTAACTTTTACGTAATAAGCAAATTACTTTGCCCATCTCTATACGATAATTTAAATTATACTCCATATTAATGAAATATAATCAATTTACCCTCGATAATATTTGACAATCTATCAATCAATCTAAAGTTACAGTATTATTCAAAATGTGTATTTATTTTTGTTATATCAAGCTAAATAAATAATTTCTAATTAGCCAGCACAGAACAAGTAAGATAAGTTGAAGCATTTATTGCACACTTGTTGCATTATATATTATGATTTATTAACAGGCATTCATGCTTCTTATTTGCAGATTTGGCAGATATTAAAAAGTCCCTGCAAAATATAGTTTCACAAGAAAGGGTAATAAGATCATTAAAGAGACATCCACATGATGGTCAAATAAGTAGTTGTATTTCCGAGTCATAATCATGTTTATTAGAAAATAAAGGGCTTATTATCAACGGAATTTAGCAAGGTTCCAATGTTTATGTATAGTTTGAAGAAATTATAAATTAAGCAGTTTTATTAATTTTTACAACCTGGGTTATGTTTACTGTGCCTTTTTTTTAGGGACCTATCAGAAATGGTATGACCCTATCAAGAATAGTATGCAGATTGTTTTTTTTTTTATCCTATCAGAAACAGTACCAACGATCCATCAGGAGTAGTATTTTTGCATCTGATAGAACTCGATAGAATTTTTTAAAATAAATTCTATAAACTGGCAGAATTCATTTAAAAAAGATTTCATCAAATTCTGCTAGATAGGCATTGAGAAATTTTTATTCAAACTTGAGAAAATTTCTGCCACCTTTAAAGAAAATCGTCATGGCAGAACTTTTTTCAAACTTTGAATGAACATTTCTTGATAACTACCTGGCAGAATTAGATGAATTTTTTTTTAAATAAATTTTGCTAGTTTATAGAGTTTATTTTAAAAAAATTCTATCAAGTTCTATCAGATAGTTGTCGAGAAATTTTCACTCAAAGTTTGAAAAACTTCGCAGTGATGATTTTCTTTAGAGATAGCAGAAATTTTCTCAAACTTTGAACGAAAATTTCTCAACATCTATCTAGCAGAATTCGATGAAATCTTTTTTAAATGAATTTTACAAATTCATAGAATTGATTTAAAAAAAATTTATCAAATTCTATCAGATAGTTGTTGAGAAAGTTTTGCTCAAAGTTTGAAAACAGCTCCACCATGATGATGCAGCAGAAATTTTCTCAAACTTTGATTGAGAATTTCTCAACATCTATCTGACAGAATTAAATGAAATCTTTTTTAAATGAATTTTAATAATTCGTAGAATTGATTTAAAAAAAATTTTATCAAACTCTGTCAGATAGTTGTGGAGAAAATTTGTCTTCAAATTAAGAAAAATTCTATCTTAATACTACGTACGTTATACATCACGTGATGATCGGTACATGCAAAATCATGTGATTTGGTACATGTCCATAGTGCAAAAGATTCAAAATTGATAGGCCTATGGTTACATTTTTTATAGATCTACAAATGTACCCTAAATCGGGTTACGTTCTTGATACATTTTAGTTCTATGATAGCTAGTAACAAATATGCATAGTAGCCAGTGTGACAAATAATTTTTATAATATTATTTATTAATAGAGGTGATGCATAATACACTTTTTTTTT